GCTTCCGAAGAAAAAAGTTGTCTAGCCCGCACTATGTACGCAGTCGTCCATGTGGCTGGCTCAAGCCTTCGCACGAAAGGAATAGAGGTCTCATTATCATGTATAATCCCCCGCATCAAAGAGGGACAGTGCAGCACAAACCAAGCCACTTGTAGGGTGAATATTTGATTTCCCGAAAAAGGGAGTTTCGTTTGTATTTATAAGAAATCCCCCGCATCAAAGAGGGATAGTGCAGCACAAACCAAGCCACTAAGTAAGTGTAGGGCATTGGTGTGCGGGGTTGAGAAGTCTTCCAAACTTTTCTTCCGGCAACATTCATTTCCTTGACGTCAAGAAGCTCAGAAATCAAATCCCACAAGCCTCTCTGCAAGCAACCTGTCATTGCAGAAAGAAGATCCAGCGGTCTTCCGTGAGCCAAGAGAGCAGCTGGGTAGACAACCTCAATCAAGATTGACTCAGCTGGTTTCGTCGGCACGACGCATCGTTTCAACCATAGCATCAAGAAACCAGCGAGGAGGGCCGTGTCAGAAATAGGAATTGCAGCTTGGTAATGGAAACTGTCGAATTCACTGTCAGCGTTAAATCCATCTTCTAAACACGTATTCTTATAAACAGCGTTAGGAGTCTTGACGCGAGCTTTGATGATTTTAGCAGAGTTTACACCAAGACGGGTCACCTTCAGATCTTTTTGACCCAAATTTTAAAACAAATAATCTGCCCAGGTAGTATGCATGAGACCACCCCCGCGCATTCCAGCGACCTGAGCGCAGATGTGGAAATGACTTAGCAACTCCCAAAAAGTGTTGTATATCTCTGGATGAGCAGCCCTCAGGAGGGAGAGTTCTTCAGTGGTGGGAATAAATTCTTTATAGGGCGTTTGCCCGAAGGATAGTCCCGATATTGCATGCATCTCATGGAGAGCAAATCCCAACTCCCCAACAGGTGTAAAAAAGGTGCAGCTATCTGGATTATATCGCTCCAACATAGCGAAGAAGCAGGGATAGCTCTGAGTGATCCCACGTCTCGTGGCCTGTACTGGTATCATAAGGCCAGACTGAGCAAGAGGATCCTTGAGTTCCTCAAGGACAAAATCCACCATCCGAGTCCACCAACCATCTTCTCCAGAAAACAACCAGCCAGGAGAACGGAAGGCTTGTGTAGGAAATTCGCCTTGAGCAGCAATAAATCGGCGTATGAAAATGTTCGCTGGAAGAGGTGCCTCTAAACAATCATTGACTCTTCGCAGCATCCGGGAGTCTTCTACATACCCGACTTGTCCATCGGCAGATATATGGTCACCGAATAAAAATGAGGGTTTGACAAACTGATCCAGACCCGCAGGAGTTTCCAGATCTAGATCGGTGATTAAAGCCCTAAGGGTGGAACACTCAGCAAACCTAATTAAATGTGTTCGCTCCAAACTTGGGAAAGTGCATAAAGGAATTTCTCTATGAAGACCAAAAGCTCTCCCCACTTCGGGATCATCAGTGTAGTTGAAGTGTTGCTCCGGTAGAAATGGCACATTGGGAAAAAGCACTGTAAAATCAGAAGCAATAGTTAGTAACAGAAATAGATTGCTAACACGAAAATTGGAGCATAACACGAAAGACAAATTCCACGTGTCAAGCATTAAATACAAGGGCCAACCCTTGTATCAACACTTGAACGCAGAGGGCCAGCCTTGCGTTACGACACTTGAACGCAGAGGGCCAGCCTTGCGTTACGACACTTGAACGCAGAGGGCCAACCTTGCGTTACGACACTAGAACGCAGAGGTCAAACCCTGCGTTACGACACTTGAACGCAAAGGTTGAACCTTGCGTTGTGATATTCAGACACAGAGGCCAAGGCCCGTGATCAAACATAGGAGTCTTAACTCTATGTTTCTTTAAACGCAGAGTCATAAGCCTGCGTTTCTAATTTTTAACACAGAGTTCTAACTCTGCGTTCCCAATTTTAACATAGAGATTTGGCCCTATGTTCCTTAAACGCAGAGCTTTAAGTCTGCGTTTCCAATTTGTAACACGGAGCCATAACTCTGCGTTTATGGTAAGAACGAGTCATCTTCCTCGTTGAAGAGAACCCATCTAGGGTTTTCAGGA